TCTAGGCAGATTTCCAACACATTTAATGGTCCAGAGCATAAGCACAGGGCAAAGAAGTTGTCTTGTTAAAAAACTGCAGCAGGTGTTGAATCAGGGAGGGTTAAACGTATGGAGCTAAATCAATCTCAATTTTCATGAATACATATGTGGGATTCATAAATGCACAGTACAAGCTCCACACACAAACAGCACGATTCACACAAGCACAAAAAAATACACACACAGTACAATCTCCACACACACACACAGCACGATTCACACAAGCATACAAGATTCACACATGCACAGCACATGATTCGCCAAAGTATTTCTGGTTCATAAACAATTATAAATTAAATTAGAAAGTACCTTTGGTCTTTAAATTTCACTGCATTTGTGTGTGAATTTTTGAGACTCTCCTGACATGCCTCGAGACACAAATGTATTTTTTTAAACAGGGGATAGTTTGCAACCAATCACAGCGCTTCCATACCGTATATAAGCCAATCACAAGAAACTACTTCACGTAGGATAACTATTTGCTCCGCGTGTCCGAGTGTTCTGTCAACTCGACATACTGCGTCAGGCCAGCATACCCTTAGTAATATGCATTACATAGAGTTTCCTCTGTCTCCGCTCTCCTTACATCCACGCACGATGTTCTATTTCACAATTTAGTCGGGTTTTTGTCATAGTTTGTGCATAAAACAAGAAAAAAAGTCATTCACTAGGTTTGTTACAAACATTTGGTTTTAAAACAATCATTGCATGTGAGAATTAAGCATTTATAGGGAGAGGATTCTACAACTCAGTTAACAGGATATGAGATTGACTTGTTTTTAGTTTGTTTAATATGAGCGACATGCGGATAATTTTATTTTTATTTAGTTATATCTAAGTACATCAAAAACTACTGAAATTATTTTCAGACTAAACATCAATAGATTAATTTATTTCGCCGGGGGAAGGGAATGACTTTAGGGTTAGGATTAGGGTTCACATGGTGATAACAACCTAATGAGCCTACTGGCACAATCTGAAGACATTCTATGGCACTGATAACCACTAATAACGATCATGTGCTTGCATGTGTAATACTAAGGGTATGCTGGCCTGACGGGGTATGCTCAGCTGACAGAACACCAGCCACGTAAAGATCCGCAATTGCAATCGCAGTAAACTGGAAAAAGAACATTAAGAGGATCCAGTTTGTCAAATTAAAATATGGTAACCACAGATCGGTAACTACAAATCAGAGTATAATTCCTAGATATTCCCAAAACCTAAGACAGTTTAATTAAATCATTGGATGCAGATTATCGGTACTTCAAAATACCAGGAAGCAGATTTCTCATCTCGATCAAAATATTTATTTTATACTGAGAGGCTTAAAAGTTTCATCAAATCCTGTCACAACAGCTTCCAAGAGTCCATCTGAAAACTTCAAAACAAACGTCTTATTGCAGACATGGATGAAGAGATGCTGAATTTGGAGGTGGAGAACAAACCAATATTGGATGATTATTCCAATTACAAAGACACACAACGAAAAAAATATGTTTGGGCAGAAAAATGTGATTGACGCTGATGGTGAGTTTTAATATGTCATATTTAATTAAGCGTTCATTACCGCGTGTTTTTCTCCTTTGAATTAAATAATAATATTGCGCATGCTCTCCTCAAACTCCAAGGAAGTTGGAGTGAAGCAAGATGGCTTTTCTTTAACCAGGAGGTCTGAAGCGGAGTGGTGACAGGATGTGGAAGATGGAGGTCAGTTATCCCACAGGAGTAGTTTCTTGAGATTGGCTTATATAAGGGAGCTCTGTGATTGGTTGCAAACCATCCCGTTTAAAAAATGCATTTGTGTATCGAAGCACATCAGCAGAGTCTAAAAATTCGCACACAAATGCAGTGAAGTTTAAAGACCACTAGTACTTTGTAATTTAATTAAATTTTAATTTAATTTAATGTTTATGGACCAGAAACACTTTGGCGAATCATGTGCCATGCATGTGTGAATCTTGTATGCATGCATGAATCATGCTGTGTGTGTGTGGAGCTTGTCCTGTGCATGTAGGAATCAAATATGTGTATTTGTGAATATTGAGACCAATTTAGCTCCATAAAAACGAGATAACACGAGCTGTCAATTAAGAAGAGCTGCTTTGTCACTTCTCAAGCGACCTGAGGTCCTCACATTTGTCTCCCCAAAAGTAAGGTAGGCGGTGTCTTTCCACAGCATTGCTAAATTTGGCCTTACCCCTGGATGCTACCATGGTGGTAATCTGTGCTGATTCAGAACTGACATTTCCTTTTGAACAGGAACCAATGCCACTCATCTTCACTCCTTGCCTCCCAGACATGGCAATGATCCAATCACAGCTTTCTGCTCTGATGTTGATGGAGGTGTTAATAAATCTGTAGTCTAATTCTTTCAATCAGGAGTCAAGTCATAGAAGGGAAAGGATATAAAGAGTCCAAAGAGTGTGGATGGGAGCTGCAGACATCATGTGGTTCTGCAATGCTCAACACACAAAAATACCAACCCTCTAATCATATTACTTGGCCGGCCCAGGTCATCATCAACAGACAAGGTCCACTTTCACGGCTATATGTTCCACATTTAGGTCAACAGCACAATACAAGGACTAGGCCTGAAGCAACCCCTCGAGGAATCCTCCATCCAACTCTGTCATGTGAGGGTAACGCTGTCTAATGCAGCCTCTTCACTAGCTGTTGTGACTGTCAGAGACTCCAGAAACTATCTGGAAAATCCATCCATCCATTTTCAGACACGCTTAATCTCAAGTGGGGTCGCAAGGGGTGCTGGTGCCTATCTCCTGCTGTATACGGGCGAGAGGCGGGGTACACCCTGGACAGGTCGGCAGTCCATCGCGGGGCAACACAGAGACAAACAGGACAAACAACCATTCACGCACACACTGACACCTAATGAGACTTTAGAGAGTCCAATTAACCTAACAGACATGTTTTTGGACTGTGGGAGGAAGCCGGAGTACCCGGAGAGAACCCACACATGCTCAGGGAGAGCATGCAAACTCCATCATGCAAACTCCATGCAGAAAGACCTGGAACAGTACATCTCCATTTGAACTGCCACCACAACTGCATGCTCTCTACTGCCTCTTGAGGACACGGCAGTACCTTGAAAACTAGATTGCTAATGAATTTTTGACTGTTCCTGTGTATATTTTTTTCCTGAAATTTATTGTTTTAACATTTAGTTATATGATAGAGTAGAAAAGGCCTAATCAAAGTTAACTGATGTAAAATTAACCATATTAAGCTCCTTGTGGAAGCAATCATATCCTTTGAACTTTCCCACATTTTGTCAATCTCTAGTTTCAGCTTATTTGATGGTGGTGGTTTTGTGTTACTGACAAGAACAAAATAGAGCACCATTGTTAAGGGATGGAAAATGAGGCTTTTAAACTTTTCAGTTCATAAAATCCCAAAAGTAAGGATTTTATTTATATTCAGTCTCTGTAAGTCAATAACTTGTAGAAAGCACCTTTGGCTCCAACTACAGCTGCAGATATATACCTGCCAATTCTGCACGTGCTTCTTTGCAAAATGTCTGAAATATTTAATCAGTAGTTAGCTTCAGTAATTATCACACCAGCTATTAACAGCTTCCTTGGCTTTCTTACTGTGCTAGTTGTACTATGCTCTTTATGTGAGTTTTATCCAATTAGACTTTGGCATCTAGTTTTACTTGGGGATATCTGACCAAGGCACCTACTTTTAAAAGTTCACTCTGTTTACTAGATGCTTTGTGAAGTATTTGAGCTTCCTGGTGCTATTTGCAAGCTGAGCTATTGATCTCTGCACCTCCTCCAGAGTTCCAACTGGTCTTTTGTATTCTTCTCTAAATAATTCTCCCCCATCTGAGCCGTGCCTCGGTGAGAAGCCTGGGATTGTGTTTTATACACTGCCTCAAACTCTTATTGACTTTGTTTGTTTGCTTAAGCTTTTACAGAAGCTCTTTAAAATCTTTATTAAACAGCTGGTTTGTAAGGGGAATGAGCTGCACACATCTCTGAACTTGATAGTTGACAGTGTTTAAGGGCCTGGAATATTTTTTTTTTCAATCTGCAAATATAGGGAAAAAGTGTAACAGACCCTAGGTTAAAATCATATCAGAATTCTTGTGTTTTCATTTAGACAAATGAAGAAAGTGCTACTTCAAAATTCAGCACATCAGATATATATATATATATATATATATATATATATATATA